AGGTAGGGACACTACCACTGTGCTAAAGGAGCCCTGGCAATCCACTTTTATTTTAAAGATTTAACTATTTTTAAGATATGTTATTAGGCACTTCTGGAGCAACTGGCACTTGAACTCAGGCCTCCTGGCCCAGAGGTAGGGACACTATCACACGAGCAAACAAAAGCACCAGTAACCCACTGTATACTGGGTTAGTAACCTCCAACAGCTGTGGGGCATTGCCAGTTTTGCTGATTGATGATCCACTCCACACTGGGTCAGAAACATGCAGCAGCTGTGTGTACTCTGAGAAAACCCTCTTGTCAATCATTGTCCAGGCTCTGGTGGTTGGAGAAGGGGAGGGGGGGCGGCGGCGGCAGCAGCAGCAATGATGGAGGTAAATTAGATGTTGCCCAAGTTGGGGTGAGATCCGAGAAGGAGTAGAGGGTCTTACTGGGCGCCCTAACTGGTTTGATTAAAAATAGTAGGAACTGAGAGGCTGTAAGAAGCGCGATTTCCCCTCCATCCCTTTGGGGGTGGGGGGATGGTGATGGGACTTTGCCATTTGCTGGCTTCCAGGGTTGTCGCTGCTTTTCCAGCGGACGGTCCAGGAGCGAGGGGGGAGCGAACGGTGAAGGCCCCGTCACTCGACGTTTTGTCGGCAGTGCTCGTGTCTTTACTTACCTCCCGGTTGGGGGGAGTGGGTCCCGTCTTGCTCCATAAACCGGGAAAGGCCGAACAGCCTACTGCTGTTGCTGTTTCTTTTGATATTGTGTAAAACGTGGTGGTTTCCCTCTCGGCGGCACCTGTTCATCGGGAGGAGAAACGCCACGCGCGTGGCCCGAGGACCGTTAGTTTTCAAAATGGTGCACGCGTGCACTCCTGTTGAGGGTGTCCTCGCTCAACATGGACTGGGCCTAGAGCTGCATTTAAATTCCACCAACTGCTATGGTGAGACTCGAACATTCCCTGGGGTAAGTGGATTCATAGTCTAGTATTAAGACCACCAGTCTCGGAGCTGCATCCTGGCGTTTGAAAAAGTCTTCCTATAGACCTATTACACAACCTCTCCGGGCGGGTGAGACTTGAATCTGGACCTTCTGCCCCAAAGATTGTAGATCAGACTGTTCATACAAGTTATTGTACACTTCCTAGGGCAGGAGGGACTCGAACCCAGAGCTCCTAACTCTGGGGTAGGAATACTGCCACAAGACTCTTGGTTGTCATAGCTTGGACTCACTACCACTGTTTTGGAGTCCAAACTCTCACAAATAGACCCCTCTTCAACAGCAGGAAAGACACTATCTCCTTACCCTGACCTCCTATCTAAAGGGATCATCAACCACTCATTAGTGGCTCATTGATTTCTACTGGGTACCACCTGATTTGTAAAGTTCTGTTTGAGTTCTTTACTGTGGCTAAAGTCTAGATGCGTTTTGCCTTGACTTTGAGTTCTGCACATGTGACTTCCCCTCAAATGTGGGAGCAGCAGTCTATGTCACCTTGGACTACAACATTTACAAGGATGAAGAGCAAAGGTGACGCAGGGCTAGACCAGCTGGTTGAAGGGTGGGTGAGAAGAATGCCTGTCAGAGGAGACAATATCCACATAGTATTCAGAATGTCATTCTCCTATTCAAAGCTCACTGAGAAACTATGTGCCAGATGATTGTTTCAGGAAGGACATCCTCTTTGAAATCTGTCATCTGATAGTAGTATTGCCAGAAGCTGGTGAGAATGGTTGTGGTATTGAGCCTACAGCAGATAATATTTGCAACACTTTGCAATTTTCCAGTCGTTTAAAACAGATTTGATTATTACTGTCATGTGTACTGAGGTACAGTGAAAAGTGTTGTCTTATGTGCTTTACAAGCAGACTGTATCCTGCACTCTGTTCTGTTACCCTGATGCACTTGTATAGTACAATATTATAGCTGCCGAGAAGGTGTAGAATGAGATGAATATTTAAGAAGTCCATTCTATTGATTCTGAAGAGTCATCTAAACTAGAAATTTTAGTTTGTTTTTTCTCCATGGATGCTGCTTGACCTGCTGTGATCTCCAGCATTTTATGATTTCAGCCTGAACAACTGCTTGTGGCACAGTCATGGCTGTGACATTGACCAACAGATGCTCTGACTGGGTCTGAGATATTATTGGAATTGATCACAAGTTCTGTGCTGGAAAAGATAGGCTCCTAGCTTTGTGCGTAGCTCCATGCTAAATTAGGGCTGAACTCCTCCATGTCATTAATGTTGTACACAAACCAAATATACAAAGTATTTCTTTGTGCTTATCCATAAATTTTCTTCTGCAATCTGTCCTCATCTAAGCTTTCTGCAAAAAAAACTTGCCCTCTAGCAGGATGGCACATGCGCTATCTTTTCCCTATGCTGTGGTTGCAAGCTGCTTACACCTTGATGTCTCCCCACATGAGGTCCTGCCTATTAAATATTGTCATACAAAACATGCATTGTCAAAGGGGTCAAAAATCCAAACAAACCCCCTTTCCATTGCTTCCGTAGACCACCCACCCACTTTCACAGCCCCTTTGCTACATATTCATTCTCACTTTTATTGGTATATGTTGTTTCTACTTTGTTCAGTGTTTCCTCCTTTTTAAATAGTTGGCATTTTATAAAAACAGGCTCAATAACATGTAACAGCTCATCTGGTCTCAAACTCAAAGGATTAATCAGAACAAATAATATGCAACCATATTTTGGACCTTTATTTTGGAAAGTGCAACAGTGTTCAAACTATCAAATGTGGAAATGTTGATCTGGAAGTTGCATTTTAACCAGAAGCAGCAAATATTCATCTATTGTCATATAATAAATCTTTATCTCAAGGAAAAAGTCACATTGTTCATGATAATTGTGCAAAGTACAAGCTTTAAGGCAAAAGGAATATATAAGGTTTGCTGACATTTTGGTTTATCGCTTTTTCTCAGCATTTGTCAGTACTTTTGTTGCTGAACTTCCATGACTTCTGCAAAAGTTTGTTCTGTTTCTTCTTCAGGGTTGAGCTGCATGCTGCAGAATGTGCAACTTGGAAGGTTAATGTTTTTTCAGACAAGGTCACTGATAATCGCTTATATACCATATGATCAAATCTGGTTTTCTAACTTGTTCTGTATCACCTGGTTAAACTGATTCCACATTGACGTCATCCTCAGATGGGTATTCCAAGAGATTATCATGATGTAACAATGTTTTTATGATAGACTTGTCAGTCAATCTCAATTCTGTTATTGAGGGAGAAGACCCTCTACCTCAGCTTTGGCCAATGTTATTGCTTTGTGTGATCTCCATTACATGGAAAATGTTACAGAGCTCTTCTTAGTCTTGTGGTGCAGTGATAGTATCTCTACCTCTGCACCAGGAGCCCAGGTTCAAGTCCCACCTGTTCCAGTAGTGTGTTGTGACATCACTGAACAGGTAGATTAGAAAATATCTACAGAACTCTTCTTGCCTCTCTTTAAAGAGCCCAGTCGACAATTGTGCCATAATTTTACTCTGTTTTGTATTTGATGCAGTACTTTGGACAATTTTGGCCATAGCTGCATCATTCTGGCACTCTGGAATAAAGAGCTATGTTTGAAGTGTTCCAGTAGTACTTTCAAATCAGTGTTTTCATAGTCTCTGAACTCCTGTAGCTAGTTTTCTTTTGGATTAAGTTTTTATCATGTTTCCAGGAATCATCTTGGTTGACTTTGAGCCAGATCACACTGTCGGGCAGCAGACCAATGGATCAGTATAGTCATAGTCATACAAGACGAAACAGACCCTTTGGTCCAACAGTAATCCCAAACTGAACTAGTCCCACCTGCCTGCACTTGGCCATATCCCTCCAAACATTTCTCATTCATGAACTTATCCAAATTTCTTTTAGATGTTGCAACTGCACCCGCATCCACTGCTTCCTCTGGAAGTTCATTCCACATGTGAACCACTCTAAAACAAAATAAAGTTATCCTTGTGTCATTTTTTTAAAATCTTTCTCCTCTCACCTTAAAAATAAGCCCCCTACTCTTGATATCACCACCCTAAGGAAAAGACACCTGCCATTCACCTTATCTATACCCCTCATGATTTTTATAAACCCCTATAATGTCACTCCTCAACGTCCTACACTCCAGTGGAAAAACGTTGCAGCCTATCCAGCCTTTCCTCAAATCCTCCAATCCCAGCAACATGCTGGTAAATCTCTGAGCCCTCTCCAGCTTAATATCGTTCCTATAACAAGGTGACCAGAACTCGACACAGTACTCCAGAAGAGGCCTCACCAACATCCTGTATAATCTCAACATAATGTCCCAACTCCTATTCTCAAAAGGTGCTAAATGCATTCTTAACCACCTGTCTATATGTGATGCAAACTTCAAAGAAATAGGTACCTGAATCCTGGGACTCTGTTCTATCACACTACTCAGGGCCCTTGTTCATCTTACCAAAATGCAATAGCTCACATTTATCCAAATTAAACTCTGTCTGCCACTCTTCAGCCCATTGAGCCAATTGATCAAGATCTCTTTGTAATCTTAGATAACCTACTTCACTGTGTGCAGTACCACCAATCTTGGTGCCATCTGCAAACTTACTAACCATGACTGCTATATTCTCATCTCAATCGTTTATATGAATGACAAACAAAAGTGGACCCACACCGATCCTTGTGGAACACTGCTGATCACAGGCCTCCAGTCCAAAAAATGACTCTCCACCATCATTCTGTCTCCTGTCAATAAGTTAATTTTGGATCTACTTTGAATCCCATCTGGTCTAACTTTATTAATTAGTCTACCATGCAGAACCTTGTCAAATGCTTTACTAACTTCCAAGTAAACAATGTCTACTGCTCTGTCCTCATCAATCTTCTTCGTTACTTCTTTAAAAAACTCAATCAAGTTTGTGAGACATGATTTCCCTTGCACAAAACCATACTGACTATCTCTAATCATTCCTTGCTTCTCCAAATGCGTATAAACCTTTATCTTTCAGAATCACTTCCCGCAACTTGCCCACCACCGAAGTCAGACTCGCAGGTCTACAGTTCCCAGGCTTCTCCTTGCATCTCTTCTTAAACATTAGCCACTCTCTAATCATCCGGCACCTCGCCTATGGTTATAGATGATACAATTATTTCTGCAAGGGGCCCCACAATTACCTCCCTAATTTACCTCAATATCCTGGGATACACTAAATTACGTCCTGAAGATTTATTCCCCCTTTGTTTTCCATGACCTCCAGCACTTCCTCTTCTATAATATGAACTGTTTTCAAAACATCAGTATTTATTTTTCCCCCAAGTGCTCTACCCTCCATTTCTCTTTCCACAGTAAAAACTGATGCAAAATATTCATTTAATATCTCTCCTGTCTCCTGAGGTTCAACACAAAGACAACCTCTTTGATCATTAAGGGGCCCAACTTTTGAGTTGCTCTCTTGCTCTTAATGTACTTCTAGAATCTCTCTGGATTATCCTTAACCTTATTTGCCAAAGCTTACTTCGTTTCCTCCCTTTGCCTTCCTGATCTCCCTCTTAGAATGCCCCTACACTCTCTTTGTACTGTTCCGAAGAATCATTTGAACCCAGTTGTCTATATCTAATTTGATTTTTTTTTTTTATTCTTGACTCGAACCTCAATATCTTTATTCATTCATTGTTCTCTAATTGTACCAGCCTCACCTTTCTCTCTCTTTAACAGGAACATAATGGTTCTGAACTCTTGTTTTCACACCTTTGAAAGCTTCCCATTTATCAGGCCATGTATTTACCTGTGAACAGTCTACTCCAATCAATTTTTGAAAATTCTTGTGCTATACCTTAGAATTTGCCTTACTCCAATTAAAAATTAAAATTTTTAATGGAAGCCTTATCCTTTTCCATAACTATTTTAAAACAAAATTATGATTACTAGACCCAAAGTGATTTCCAACTATCACTTCAGTCTCTTGCCCTGCCTTATTACTCGAGGGCAAGTTTTGCTCCTTCTCCAGCAGGAACATTTACATATTGATAAAGAAACTTTTCTTGAATACATTTAACAAATTCTTCACTATCCAAATCTTTAACATTATGGTAGTCCCAGTCTATGTTTGGAAAATTAAAATCACTTACAATTACAACCTGATGATTCTTGCATATATCTGAGATCTCTCTACCTACTTTTTCCGCAGTTTCCCTCAAGGTGATCAATCCTTTTTTATTTCTAATTTCAACCCATATGTTTTCCCTGAATGATTTTTTTGGAAACATCTTCTTTAGTTACAACTTCCTTAAGATTGAAAGAAAGCAATTTTGTCTTCTGCAATCCCTTTCAATTCAATGCTGCTTTAGGTTCACCCCAGGGACTTTCTTTTGCTGATGTATTACAGCTTGGGACCATCTCCTGTGAAAGGTCTTGCAGGATCTCTTGCACTATGGAAACACTATCAACTACCTTGGGTAATGCTTGCGTTGTATCTCTGGAAAAAAGAAGGGAGGTAAGAAAGTTTCTCCAAAACATCCATATTAGATGAACAGTGAAGTACCTCCTCTCCATTGCCACCAGTGTTTGTTACTTGTGATCAAGCGAATGAGTGCCCGAGTTCCCTCTACACATGTTGATCTGAAAATGGTTAGCAAGCTCGCCATTTTTGCAGTGTTTCCTAAGACCGTTATGTAGAATGATACATATGAAATTAAGAAGCCTTCACCTCTGGTCAAGTGGATGTCTTTTGTACAGATTTTTGACAGTAATTTCTAATCAGTATGCCATACAGTTAACTTGATGACTTACATACTAACAGCAGAACACAGCCTTGCTGGAATATGTATATTGTGCTTCAGTGAAAGAAGGCAAAATTTCACCACCAAGATACAATTGCCTGACCTGCCATCTGAAGTCTTCGTTCATTTTTTTAAACACTATTTCAACTTTGAAATAATCAGCTAGGATCAAATCAATCAAAAAACTTTGCAATGAAACAATTAGGCATAAACATTTTGAATAATAGACCAAATGAAAGCACATGGCCATTGTCATTTCTCATTGTTTCTCCATTCCAAACCTCACCCACCACCACATAAAATTAAAATGTGATTGACTGCCTCTGTGGCTGCTGCTGCTTTTCTTAGTACATGGGCCAGCTCTTGGTCTCCTTTCTGGGTTTCTTGCCACCTATATTGCCTGCTGTGTTTCATCACGCTATCTGATATCCAGTATTGGATAAATAAAACTATTCTCCATTTAAATATTGTGAAGACTTTGAATTCCACCAGAAACTCATTTCTCTAGCTACAAACTCCATATCATCTCCTTAACCAATGTTTGAGGCCGATTCAAAACATTCTGAACTTCGACAATCTATTTAACACTAAGCTGACCTTCTGAGGACATTTCCATCATTATGACTTCCTATTTAAACCAACATAATTTCTCTTGTGTTTGCCCTGCCTTTGCTCATCTGCTACTGAAACCATCAATTCCCTCGTTCACTCTAACATTGACTAACAAAATGCAGTCCTGACTAGCTTCCAATTCCCCATTAACTTGAGTTTCTGCCAAAGCATCATTCAACCATCATCCTTGTGCTTGCTCACCTACATTGTCTCTGTCTCTGGTCTGTCAACACCTCGACTTTAAAAAGCCTGTGCTTTTGATCAAAGTTTAATGGCCTGATCTTTCCTTAACATTGTTGGGCTGCAAGAGGATACAACATTGAGGGTTCTTTTTGGCTTCCACCAATTGTGACTACTTTCACATTCCTGATTTTGATCCTTTAACTTGATCTTGCTTTCAACTGCCTAAATCTACAGCTCTGAAATTCCTTTCCTTGACCTTTCTGCCTCTTTAAGATGCTGTTTGAATCCTACCTCTGACCAAGCTTTTGGTCACCTGCCCTAATATTGCTTTGTGAAGTTCAGTGTCTAATTTGGTCATCATTCCTGCAAAACACTTGGGATGTTTTGCGACATTAAAGGTCCTATATGCAGGCAAGCTTTTAGATTTTTGAATCTAGGTGTACAATTTTAAAAGTATGCATAATGTCATGTATTTTCATACTATATTTTGCTAGCAAAATGTGCATATGGAACAGAAGATTGCTACTACAATAGAAAAAATGAAACGGTGTCTGTTCTACCAGCTGATGATAATTGAAAATTACCACAAGGCCATTAGCAAAGAGCTGGGGCCGCTTGTTGAATGGGTATGTTACTGTAAATTTTAATCATGAATACATTCCCAAGGAATGGAACATTTTGACTCTTTATAGCAGTAAATTTTTGATTTTAATGTGAATATCCTTTATATTTTCAAAATACTGCATTGCAGTAAGTCCTTTACATTCAAGTGAATATGTATGAATGATGAGTTTTTGCTTTGTTTGCAGGTTTATGTTCCCGATTAATAGAATCCAAATCTTCCCCTTCTAAAAACAGGCACAATCATCAGTAAAATTAATTCACTTTTGTTCATAGTGGGTTTAAATTTCAACAACAGTAGCACAAACAAACAAATTTTCACTGTTTATTTGCATGGCTTATATTATTTGATTAATGAATATAGAAAAATGTAAACTTGCAGGCATAGCCTGGTTTGTAAGCTCATTTTATTAGCCCTGCAGTTTTTATTTATGTGCTATACAAAACTCTCCTAAAAACAGACAACCTGTAACATCAGGAGGTTGCTGATGATTTTGCTTGATATTATGTTGTTGATTTGACTTCTGCACCATGATCTTTTTTGGAATGTTGTCAAGGCTTGCCACTTATTGGTTTCATGGTAAATCTGTCCCACGTTCTGCATCAACAATGATACTTTTGTCCAAGTACTCCCAGAGTATCAAAGAAATTTTTTTCTTAATCGTAGTCCAGTATGTGTTGTAGACAGAAAGCAACACCCTGCCTTTACCACTTAGTCCTAGATTGCTTGTAGTCTTTAATCTGTGCCTGACTAGGATTAATTGTGTTTTACATGAGGTCTTTTTACACGGTGTCTTTTTTTTATATACTTCCACAGACCCCACTTAAGTTGATGTCCTGGTAATATAGTCAATATGCTGTGCCCAAGCTATACTTAAAGAACAAAGAAAATTACAGCACAGGAACAGGCCCTTTGGCCCTCCAAGCCTGCGCTGATCCAGATCCTCTATCTAAACCTGTCACCTATTTTCCAAGGATCTGTATCCCTCTGCTCCCTGCCTATTCATGTATCTGTCTAGATACATCTTAAATGACGCTATCATGCCCGCCTCTACCATCTCTGCTGGCAGTGCATTCCATGCATTGAACTTTCCACACGTAAAGAACTTTCCACGCATATCTCCCTTAAACTTTCCCCCTCTCACCTTGAAATCGTGACCCCTAGTAATTGAGTCCCCCACTCTGGGGAAAAAGCTTCTTGCTATCCACCCTGTCTATACCTCTCATGATTTTGTAGACCTCAATCAGGTCTCCCCTCAACCTCTGTCTTTCTAATGTAAATAATCCTAATCTACTCAACTTCTCTTCATAGCTAGTGCTCTTCATAGCTAGTGCCCTCCATACCAGGCAACATCCTGGTGAACCTCCTCCGCACCCTGTCCAAAGCATCCACGTCCTTTTGGTAATGTGGTGACCAGAACTGTACGCAGTATTCGAAATGTGGTCGAACCAAAGTCCTATACAACTGTAACATAACCTGCCAACTCTTGTACTCAATACCCCGTCCGATGAATGAAAGCATGCTGTATGCCTCCTTGACCACTCGATCGACCTGCGTTGCCACCTTCAGGGTACAATGGACCTGAACACCCAGATCTCTCTGTGCATCAATTTTCCCCAGGGCTTTTCCATTTACCATATAGTTCGCTCTTGAATTAGATCTTCCAAAATGCATCACCTCGCGTTTGCCTGGTTTGAATTCCATCTGCTATTTCTCCACCCAACTCTCCAATCTATCTATATTCTGCTGCATTCTCCGACAGTCCCCTTCACTATCTGCTACTCCACCAATCTTAGTGTCATCTGCAAACTTGCTAATCAGACCATCTATACCTTCCTCCAGATCATTTATGTATATCACAAACAACAGTGGTCCCAATACGGATCCCTGTGGAACACCACTGGTCACAGTTCTCCATTTTGAGAAACTCCCTTCCACTACAACTGTCTCCTGTTGCCCAGCCAGTTCTCTATCCATCTAGCTAGTACACCCTGGACCCCATGCGAACTTCACTTTCTCCATCAGCCTACCATGGGGAACCTTATCAAACGCCTTAGTGAAGTCCATGTATATGACATCTACAGCCCTTCCCTCATCTATCAACTTTGTCACTTCCTCGAAGAATTCTATCAAGTTGGTAAGACATGACCTTCCCTGCACAAAACCATGCTGCCTATCACTAATAAGCCCATTTTCTTCCAAATGTAAATAGATCCTATCCCTCAGTATCTTCTCCAGCAGCTTCCCCACCACTGACATCAGGCTCACCGGTCTATAATTACCTGGATTATCCTTGCTACCCTTCTTAAACAAGAGGACAACATTAGCAATTCTCCAGTCCTCCGGGACCTCACCCATGCTCAAGGATGCTGCAAAGATATCTGTTAAGGCCCCAGCTATTTCCTCTCTCGCTTCCCTCAGAAACCTGGGATAGATCCCATCCGGACCGTGGGACTTGTCCACCCTAATGCCTTTTAGAATACCCAACATTTCCCCCCTCCTTATGCCGACTTGACCTAGAGGAATCAAACATCTGTCCCTAACCTCAACATCCGTCGTGCCCCTTTCCTCAGTGAATACCGACGCAAAGTACTCATTAAGAATCTGACTCGTTTTCTCTGACTCCTTGCATAACTTCCCTCCTTTGTCCTTGAGTGGGCCAACCCTTTCTCTAGTTACCCTCTTGCTCCTTATGTACAAATAAAAGGCTTTGGGATTTTCCTTAACCCTGTTTGCTAAAGATATTTTATGACCCTTTTTAGCCCTCTTAATTCCTCGTTTCAGATTGGTTCTACTTTCCTGATATTCTTCCAAAGCTTTGTCTGTTTTCAGTCGCTTAGACCTTATCCTAGTTGTCCTAGTCTCTCAATTTCACCGGTCATCCATGGTTCCCTAATCTTGCCCTTTCTATCCCTCATTTTCACAGGGACATGTCTTTCCTGCACTCTAATCAACCTCTCTTTAAAAGCCTCTTTTACCCTCAAACAGTTGCTGCCAATCTACATTCCCCAGCTCCTGTTGAATCTTGCTACAGTTGGCCTTCCCCCAATTTAGCACTTTTCCTTTAGGACCACTCTCGTCTTTGTCCATGAGTATTCTAAAACTTGTGTGCAAAATCCTCCACTTTCTGCTGGTTTTGCTTGATTTTGAAAGCAGCTCCATCTTAACATCCCAGTAGTTTAGTATACTTTAAAGATTATATCTTATAATAGGCTGGAAGTAATTACAAATTCCCTAGGGCGCAAATATAATTCCCTGTCAGCAAAAGTCTTTGAGGCCAAAACACTGTTTTCAAGAAGGGGTTAAGTATAGTTCTTCGAGCTAAATGGATCAAAGGGTGTCGGGAGAAAGTGGGAACAGGGTACTGAGTAGAATGATCAATCATGGTCATATGGCAGAGCAGATTTGAAGGGTTGAATAGCCTACTGCTGTTCCTGTTTTCTATGTTTCCATACTTGTGATTTTAGAAATTGTGCAGGGTATCCAGTCGAAGTTAAATAGATATGGATGCTTAATTGTACTTAGTTATCTTTTCAAATTTGACGTTTCAATAAATAAAATATTCTAACTGTCTATAAATAGGTGACATGGAGTTTATGATAAGCCATATCGCATTAGATCTAATGAAAACATAATGAGAAGAAAACTGTTTTTCTAATTCCATGTTTCTTTGATTCTTGAGAATTGCAAAATATGTTTTTACTTTACAGACTATAGTGATCTTCACAGGGAACATTTCCTAAGAACTACTGTAGCTTACCTAATGAAGGATATGCTTTGCCATAGAGAGAGTGTAATGGCAGTACACCAGAATAAATTCTAAAATGGTGGCACTGAGCTATGAGGAGAGATTGAGGCGATTTGGCCTCAATTTTTTGAATTTTGAGGTTATTTAGATTAAGAGAACACAATCTCAGAATAAGAGAAAGCCATTTGAGATAGTGAGCAATTTGTTCATTCTGATGGCAATGAATCTTTGGAATTCTCTTCTCCAGAATACTGAGGAAGGTCAGTTATAAAATGTGTTCCGACAGAGATCAATAGATTGAGAGATGAAGTAGTGTAGGAAAATGTTGAGTTAAATGATCAATCATGATCTCTAGAATGGTGGAGTAGGCTTGAGGTTGAATGGTCTACTATTGCTCCAGTGTTCTAGCTACGTTCCTGCAATCTTGGCATTTCGTGCATCCCTGTTTCCTTTACCTCCTTGGTGGTTATGCCTTCAGCTGTCCAGACCCTAAGTTCTGAAATTCTTAAACCTGTCTGAGTCACTAGCTATATCATGCTTATGACTTCTAATGGTTAAGACAATGTTGTCCAGAAGCACCTTAGGATGCTTGATATGGAGAAGAGAAGTGCTATGGGTATGCAAGTTGTTGATGAAAATTGACTTGTGGTAATATGTTTTTACAGGTCAGATTGAATATTCAGAACATTACTTTTAAAGAAGATTTCTGCAAAATTTATGAAGTTGTCTTTGGTCAACTAAGTCAACTATGCAGTTTAAGTAAAGAATTATACAAAAGTTTTCAAGAAACTAAAACAGGTAATTCCTCATCTGGAACTAAAAATCTGTAAAATCTCATAGGTGCATTAAAAGAAACTTGTTATGTCCTGAACAATTTTTTTAGGAGGTACACAAGAAAAGTGAATGTAAAATCTAGAGACTAGTTGCAAATTGTATTTCTAACTGAGCAAAGATACAATCTGTATATGAAAAAAATGAAATTGTTCATTGGTTTGTTAACAAAAGATTGTCAAAGCTAATGTTAACTATCTGAACTTTTTTTTTGCTTTCACTTTTTTAGTGCTTTCAGTTTTAGTCGTTGATGGCTTAGCAAATCAGTTATTATTTGGCGTGCTCTTACCTTACTTTCCTTTAATGTGCTGTTCCTCTGAAGTCTTTCAGAGATGTGACACTACAGACACATTCTCAAATTAAGACATTCATTTATATGGTGCACTAAAGTTGGAAATTCAGCTTCAAATCACATTCTGGTCTAATTATTCTTCATACTTGAATACTGACTTTGGCTGAAAACTGTAGATTGTCATTTCACATTCTGTGTAGGGTAATTATAAGAGTTTAAGTTTGAGATCAATTATACAAAATTACTGTCTAAACGTAGATTTTTTAAGAAGCACTCAGGAAATTAAAGGAAAGTACTTTCCGGTATTCACATTGTCAAAATATATTGCTATGGCATAAATGTTTAAAGATCATGCCTAAATCTAACAAAGATTAGATGTTTTTTTCGAAGTTATTTTTTCTGTTCCTCATTAAGGCCTTGTCTGCTATCACAGGCATCTTGTTTCAAGTAGGAATTGTGGCAGCTGGACAACAGACTGCAACAAAGAAACGTTTTTCTTTCGGAGTTCCTGCATTCGGTTCTACAAGTTATATTAATGGTTTAGCTCCAGAAGATTTTCCAACAGGTGTTAAACAACATGTATGTGTACATATTCATGAAGGACCTGGCATCTGTAGTCCAAAGCTTGTTATTTCCAAAACAAATACTTCCCAAGTAGTTGATGCATCTTGTGAGGAAATGATATCAGAATCTAAATTGCAAAAGGAAGAGCAATCAGTGAGGCATTCCAGTGATTGTTCCCCTTTTCTCAACAGACAGTTTTCAGAAGTGGACCGACCTCCAGAAGAAATTGGATCATCAAATCTATGCAATGAGCTCATTGTAGAAACAGTAAAGGAGACATTATCTACTGAAAACTCAAGTTGCACAAGTGTGCACTTGAAGCAAGAAGGTCCACGTATCCTTTCTAACAAAAACAAGTCTACAACTGAAAATCAAACATATATCGTTCGATCAGAATGGGAAGTTTGGGACACTTTAGAATTCCCTTCATCAGTTAGGCCTGAAAAAGAACGGATGTGTAATGGACAAGTACCAGCCTCAACTCTTGATAACATTTCATCTCCAGAACCCTTGAACCTGAATGATACTTTCAGCCACCCAAATCCAACTGAACAAGCAGCAACCTCAAAAAATTGTGTGGTTTCTTTGGAACAATACATGAGTTCAAATTGTATCTTGGAACCATTAAGTAGGAGTTATTTTTCAAATTCACCTGTTGGAAGGGATATAAAACCACCTGAAGCCAGTGATATACCAGAATTCCAGTTTTGTCGGTGGCAGGAGATAGAGATAAGGGTCAGTTATGCAATCGATCCACACTATTTCTACATACAGCACCTTGGTCAGGAGCTACCGGAACTGATGAGACAATTGAAGTAAGTACATGAAAGGATTTTCCTATGTTGTCATTAAAGAATCATATCTTTGTAGTGGGGAGCAAAGTTTCACAAGAACACATTGCCAAAATTCAGACAGCTCAATGAGGCAACAGTGACTCTTAGTTGGTAACACTTAGTCCCTCTAGTATTGCACAATATGGAGTCAACACAAAGTGCAGTCTTTGAATGAAGACGGCATGAGGCAGAATGTTAATTGGATCAGGGGACCAGGCATAATTCAGTCCCCATTTTAAAATTATACTTCTATCCTTACTTTTGATATTATCATTATAAATGCGAACATCAGAATTTATAATGAAAGCAATCGATCACTTGGAACCTGACATACGTCTCGTTACAGTAGAGCCAGTCACAGTACCAGAAACCCGGCAATCAGTGCTATACTTCCCCGAGAGGCCATTCTTCACCACCCAACACACCCCCAATCGTTTCCAAGATGACATACTGGCATACCTGTTTGAAATGTTACCCTGAATCACATCTAATGTTGGATACTGTCTGAATTTTTGCAAGTGTAGACTACTGTGTATAGTCAGTACCTTGCACCCTTTTTGATACAACCTACCAGTTTTTGGGATGTATGGCCTACATGCCTGGCATCTCACAGGCACTGAAATTCACAATGTGTTTATGGCTTGATGGCAGGTGAACACCACTCATGTTGCTGCTGTATAATAACAGCATGAAACAGCTAGCTTCATCTGTTGCTCAAAACTTGTATGTCGTCATTTCACATACCTAGCCCATACATTGATGTACCGCTCAAAGAAGCCATAGACATGGATGCTGTAACATGATGACATGGTGACCTAGATTTGCCAACATTGTGTAAATCAGTATTTGCTAAAGTATGAAGTCAGCAGCTCACGTAGATGAGTTCAGTTTCCAACAATACCATGTATGCTCAAATAGGTGGTGTTTCCCTGGGATCCCCATTAGGCCCAATGATCTTAAATTCTTGTTGGGTTCCATGGGAGATGTGACTTAACCTTCTACCTCTTGCATGTTTTTGATAAGTTGAATCTGCAATTGCATGTAAGAATTTACTTGACTTAATGTGCTCCATCCTGCAGTTAAAGTTTCATTTGAAATGAGTTCTTTTTCTACCACCAAAACACAGTGGCAGCAGTGTGCACCATGACAACTCGCCAAAATCTCTTAGCACCTTGCAAACCTGTGATCTGTGCCACCTAGAAATATATGGATAGCTGACACATGAGGACATCACAGTTCCCTCCAAGCCATACACCATCCTGACTTGGAGCCATATTGCTGGTCCCTTCACTGTTATTGAATCAAAATCCTGGAACTCCTCCCTAACAGCACAGAGAGTATACCGATAACACGTGGACTGCAGTGGTTCAAGAAGGCTGCTCATCACCACCATCTCAGGCAGTTAGGGATGGGCAGTAAATACTGGCCTAGCCAGCGATGCCCACTCCTTGTAAATTAATTTAAAAGAAAATTATTGGTTCCCAACGCTTGGTTTGGATTTCGGGCCATGGATATGACCAGAATCACTGAGATTTTTAGTGTAATTTTTATTATACTGGATGAAATGTAGATGTAGAATTTGTTTCTCCAGCATGCACTAAGCAACCTGCCTCAATCCAAAAAAAGCAGTTCGACATTTTACTTTCCAACAATGAGATTGACAGGTGCTAAAGTATACTTTGATTCTGTCAATTGCAAAATCCCAAAATCTGAAGTATTGATCTAGATCCTGGGACCAGAAATATCCTTTTCTGTGGACTTGCCATGCTAACCATTTTCTCCTCACCAGCTGAGCCAATTGCCAAAACTAACATTTGGGTTGTATTTTTAATTGCAGTATTGAATGCTGTAGGAATTCTGCTACATTGAGTTCCATCCCTATGATCAGCTCCTACGTGTGTGCTTGGCTCCCTGAAAGCAAGCAGTGGTATCGGTCTCGTGTAATCAGAATTGTGGGAGATACAACAACACATGGTATGCACGTAGGCTATATGCCAATTTAGTTTAAACATTTTTTTAAATAAGGATGTAGTAAGTTGAATGAGACTTGAGAAAAAGTACAAGTCTTGTGCTTTCATGTAATTTTTTGATAACCTGCGAATCATCCTTTTTATTGGAGTAAAAGGACAGCATAAGTGGTCTTCAGAAAAAAGAGAAATTGTTGGAAAAATTCAGCAGATCTGGCAGCATCTCGGATCCAGTGACTCTTCAGTCTGTCTTCATGGAAATGTCAAGTTGGTGACCTGTCAGTGGGGCTGTTAAACTGACATTCACCAAAGCTAGTCCTTGATTGACATTAGTATATATCCACTTTTCAGAGGACCTAACCCATGCAATTATAGTATGAAACTGGATCCCAGCTGAAATTGGCCAAATGATCACACAACTAAACATATGACCTTGTGTTCTGTTTTCTGCTGTTGTTATAATTTTTTAGATTATTCTACATGAGCATATCAGTAACCATGGCATCATTATTGCTGTAATCTCAGTAGAGGCTGTTCACATTTCTTGTTTTAAAAGTCTGAAAATCTCTCTTTTTTGCTAAATGCATGAATCTGCAAGGTTCATGGTTTAAAACAAAAGAATTTTACTGCACATAAATCAAATAACATGAATTGTAGTAGCTATACTCTATCTTAAATAGTTGTGCTAAAGGTATTAAAAGTGCAGTGACGATGGTTGATTGTGCTCCAAACTACTCAACTTTTCCTTCTACACCAGCAAAAAAAACTCAAGTCGGATACTTATCAGAAGTTAGAAGGTTAACCATTTGCTCCGAATGCTGTTTCAAACATTCATCTGAGGGTTCTGATTCTTGGCTTTTGCTCTTGCTTCCATCAAGGTTATCCCTTTAGGTCGTCTTCAGGCTTATAGATTATCAGTTTATACATTATTGTCTTAAGTATAGACACCTTGGGTCAAAACATCCCTAGTTCTAATACTTTCTAGCTCTGCAATCTTGCACCTAAAACTGTGTCTCAGCTTGGCCATCCCAGCAGTTAAACTCACTGTTCTAAATTATTTTAGCCAGCAACCAGAATTTCAACTGAATCCTGCTTGAAAGAGATGTTTCCTGCAACAAGCTAGTTCTAAACTATGGCTTGAGAACAGCAGTATGCCCAGGGGCCTACTCGCCTCTCTACTTATGGTTGACCCTCCTTTTATCCTATTACCTCCCAGGATGGTTCATTAGATCAGTTATTGAAAACAAGCTGTTATTCACAGTAAATCACCTTTCAGAGAAATTTAGGGCTGAACTTTTTTTTTTGGCTGTCAGTTTCCTGCAGAGTTTCTTGCTGCAAGGCTTCACAAGGTCTCTCATTGCATTAAACTGGTCTAACTACTGACCAAGCCATTACCTACCCCTGCTCTGGTACCCCCTCACCCAATTCAAGACCAATCTTAACCACGCTCTGTCCTGAGAATAACTCGTCAGTCCCAGAATATCCCATATTTGACTAGTATTCCTGGTGTCTGCACAATCTTTAAAAGACCATTGTTCACCTGGACAAGCACTGTTAGTTTGGAGCAGTCTTACATGGTTCCACACTTTCTCCCAGACATGGCAGAGAAGGGAAATTTCGCACCTCGCTTTACAGGCAAAGACATAGAGGTCCTGTTGGACAGTGGTGCAAAAGCAAGGTTCCTTTCCCCCTGCCCGCCAGGACCAACAGAGGAGTTCATGACATCGGTTTGGTTAACCTGGTCTAAGGTTGCTTTCGGGTCAGTCCAAACCATCTGGTAGAATGCACAGCAATATAAGGCAAAGGTTGACGACTGCCCAAGATTGCCACCATCTCTCCAATAACTCACTCTACTGACCCCTGCTACTGTATCCACCTCCCGACAAGGCTCATGCTCTACCACTTCACTATTGCCTGCAATATCTTCCCGCACTTGCAGTCTCTCACCCCAATCCCAACTGTGTGCTTTTGTGCTGTTTCTCACTCACTCAGGCACCCCTCCCTCCCCGCCACCTGCTCTAGGACTAATAGCTGTGGAATCCACTTTCATCTCTGAATATTCATCATTCACTTACTCCAGGAGGAAAACATCCGACAGTAAGGAATAGAGTCAAAACGGCTGCTGGGCTGCCTGGTGTTTGGCTCCTTGTTCCTTATGAGCAGCCGATCCCAAGTTTGACTGCCTTGAGCATCAGCCTGATCATATCCAAATGTTTGGATTGAAATCGAGGCTTCCCTTTACTTGATGTGCTGGGGCCCTCTTACTGAATCCTTTTGATTTGACTGAGGACTGCTAATAACCATGATAAGCTTCCAAGCTTTGTGTCTCTGCTAAACAGCAGAGCAACACATGGTGCTATGAGCCTAGTATCTCCAGCTGAGGGACAAGGTGCAAAAAATGCAAGCCAAGGCAAGGATGCTGTGAGCATCCTGTAGGCTCAAAGTAAGTAAGCTCGGAGAGCATGCAAGCAGCCTAGTGATGCAATCTGGTCCACTGCATAAACTGGTTGGTTGTTCTTGTGTGCAAAAGGTCTTTGCAGCATTACAATGGTAATTGTTGTTGTATTCCCAGATGCAGCATTGAATTGCAGAAGCGTATTGAAAGTGCACTGGACATGTGTCATAAGGGTTCTTAAAGGCTGGCACATTAGAATACCGTTGTCTGTGGAAGTGGCATGCATGTGGCCGGTTTGCTCATGGTGAATGGCAAGATAGGAAGCTAATATTGTACAACTTGACACATTGGTAGAGAAGCCAGGAAACTGGTCAAATGATCATTTATTTTCATAGGTATGCAAGGACAGCAAGCTTTATCACTAATGAAGTGGAGAATCAGCTCTGCTGCATTATAGATACTTCCCAGCCTATACAAAATAATGTGAAATTAATATTGCAAATCTCACTTTTCTGCTGTTTTCCCACAGTTTTCATGGGCATGCCTGTATTTCATCCAAAGTCAAGCCTACCTTGGTGATAGTGCAGCACCTGCCTTTGTGCATGTGGGTCCTATTTGCTTTTATTATTAAAATTTGTCCCCTAACTAACTGTAACTGATTCAAGCTCTTCAAAGCTGTATATTAATAAGGTGAGATTTGCCCTTACTGAGGTTGATAACCAACAGTATTCACCCTCAGTTAGTAATTCATCATACCGTAGTGAGAATTTTATTTCTGTCCAGAACATATTTAAAGGATGTAGTGAAATACCCCCAGGAGTTAAACATTGCTGGATTTCTTGCACGATTCTGCCACATTTTACACTATAACCCACATTGTTCAGGTCCCTGTACATTTCCACCCATAGTTCTTAAAGGAACATCATTCCAACACAAAATATAGATTTTTTTTTTTTCCCCAAAAGCCCATTGGTCGTCATATTACAGTGAAATTCTGGTATGGCAAGTTTGACTGGTATAGAATGATTCATGGAAGATTGCTGTTAATTTTTAAAATTTATTCTTGAGGGGTGAACATTGCTGGTAAATAAACATTTCCATCTTTAATTGCATAGAATGCAAATGACTTAAGTTCATTCGTGATTTGCGGAAAGTTTATCCAACTGGATGATCAAAGAATTGTCCTTTAACAGGTAAACTGTATGCATAGTGGATGCAGCCCCTCCCCTACTGCTGTTGTGTTTGAGTTTTGGCTTGATGTCAATAAAGGAACATCAATTTTAAAATACAAAAAAATTAGCATAACTTTAACCCTATTGAAATACTAATATTATTTAACTAATACTCATCAACTGTTCCAATATGGTAGCATTCCAAAACACATCCTTGGCAAAGACCAATTCAGCAAAACCGATTCACTCACATGCTATCATCAGTCCAGGAGAAAGGAAAAACAAAGAATGAACCTAGCAGCAGAGACAAAACTCAAGCTTTTTTGCAGCAGCAGAGACAGAACTGTATCCAGCAGCTTCAACTTCAAAAACACCGTCTTCAACACATGAAAGCACAAACTATAAAACTCTGGGTAAATATGAGCTTGACTCAACCGACTCACTTCTTTTGTCTATTTTTTTAAAAACAAATACAAAGCTATTTACTCTGCTTTCCATGGAGCAGACACCTCAACATGAGATTTACAACACCTCACTTCGAGAACCAGGACAGAACAAATCCCTCTTAAAGGCATAGATCGTCACACTGTGAACTACTGTTTTTTTGACATGTTGACTGCAAAGGCTTGGGGAAGTCAGGAGGTGAGTTTAGAATTCCTAGTATTTAACCTATTGTTGTAACCATAGCCTTGATTGAAATATCGAATTTTGAGTGTTGTGGGAAATTTATATTTTTCTTTCTGAATTAGACCAGTGTGTTGTTACATGATAAGTCAATAGTAGGTAGTTATGTTAGTTAGGTGTTGGGAATTTGTGCTATTGAGTCAGTTTATTGTCATACCGTTTGTGTTAAAGGAGTTCTAGTACAAAATATTAAATGTTTTGTTCATCCAGTTGGATAAAATTTGCACAAATCATGAATGAGCTTAATTATTTACATTCTATGATACACTAACTTTAAAGACCAACACATTCGCAGCAAGTTATTGAAAAGCTCTTTTCCTTCTGAACTGAACAGTCTGTTTGTATTCTTTTTTTTATTAAAAGAGATTTACATTGAAGGGATAAATTGTTAACTTTGACATTATTTTGCAGGTGATTACCAACACCACCTACTGGAAGTGTTGTGTGTAGATTATGGATTTTCTGCTTGCCTTTCATTAAGTTATTTAAAATGTCTTCCTCCAACATATCGTGTCCTTCCCCAGCAAGCATTGTGTGTCTCTTTAGCAAACGTAAGTACATAGGGATGTGAGGTTTACTAAAATTCTGAACATGGAGAGTTTTTATTACACTGAATCAAACCAAGGCCAATTATGCTGTTTAAGCCCTTCTTGATTTTAACGTACACCAGTTGAACTAAAACTTAAATGCTGAATTTAGAAGCTTGAGTGTCACAGGTGTGCTGCACCAATGCTAATTGCCTCAGGCATGATAGAATATAAGTTGATTGATATTGACTGCTTCTCCTTCACCCAACCAAGTTCTCCTTACTCATTATTTTTGAGACTGTTATTCTCATAAACAAAAAACAACATGGCATAAGTAATCCACTCAGATAGTAGGAACTGCTGATGCTGGAGAATGTGATCCCCTATTCCCAGTTCCTCCGCCTCCGCCGCATCTGCTCCCAAGCTGAGGCTTTCCACTCCCAGATATCCCAGATGTCTTCGTTTTTCAAGGACTGCAATTTCCCCCCACAGTGGTCAAAAATGCCCTCGACCGCATCTCTTGCATTTCCCACACCTCAGCCCTCACACCCCCTCCCCACAATAAAAACAAAGAATTCCCCTTGTCCGTGTGTGTATCATCCCATTAACCTCCAGATTCAACACATCATTCTCTGCCACTTCCGCCACCTGCAATCTGACCCCACTGCGAAGGATATATTTCCCTCCCCACCCTTATCTGCCTTCCGGAGAGACAGCTGTCTCTGTGACCCCCTTGTCCGCTCCACACTCCCCACTAGCCCTGCCACCCACCCCCGGCACTTTTCCCTGCAACCACAGGAGGTGCTACACCTACCCCTACACCACCTCCCTCACCTCCATCCCAGGCCCCAGGAAAACCTTCCACGTTAAAAAGATGTTCACCTGCACATCCGCTAATGTGGTCTATTGTATCCGGTGTTCCCAATGTGGCCTCCCCTGCATCGGGGAGACCAAGCAGAGGCTCGGAAACTGCTTTGTGGAACACCTACGCTCAGTTCGCGACAAATGACAACGCTTCACAGTCGCCATCCACTTCAACTCCCTCTCCCACTCCATGGATGACAAATCCATCCTGGGCCGCCTCCAGTGTACAACGATGCCACCCAAAAACTGGAGGAACAGCACCTCATATTCTGCCTTGAAACCCTACACCCCAATGGTCTTAATGTGGACTTTTACAAGCTTCAAAATCTCCCCACCCCTGACCTCATCCCAGGACCAGCCCCACCTCTCGTCCCCTCCTCCTTGACTTGTCCATCTTCTCTCCCACCTATCCGCTCCTCCCATCTCACTGACCAACCCCCATCCCCACTTTCTACCTACACTCACCTCTACTAGCTTCATCCCCACCTCCTTGAACTGTCCGTCTTCTCTCCACCTATCTGCTCCACTATCCACCTTCTATCACCGCTCGCCCCGTCTATTTATTTCAGAGCCCCCTTCTCCTCCCCCATTTCTGAAGAAGGGTCCAGACCCAAAATGTCAGCTTTCCTGCTCCTCTGATGTTGCCTGGCCTGCTGTGTTCTTCCAGCTCCACACTTTATCTTATGGCATAAGTAGTGTTGTTAAGTTTCTGTAATGGTTTTCATAATGAGACCATGATACGGTCTTGTGGAACAATGGTAGTGTAATACAGTGCGATGGTAGAAGCCCTGGGTTAAAGTCCTACTTCAGTATTTGAAAGAAGGTGCATTCATAATATAGCTAAACAAGTTGATTATTAGCTCGTAAATTCGTCAAATACATATGGCAGTAAGGGCATAGACAGCAAAAAGCAAAGGCAAAGCCTTGCAGTAATTTGCCAGTCATAACCATGAACCAATCCAGTGGAAGTTCACGTTCTCCAGTGTCCTCTTGAAGCATGGTACCAGAAGAGAGGGACTATGGCTCTCCGTAGACATCCATCATGTGTAATGCTTTTTAACTGAACTGTTAAGCTTATCAAGTTATGATAATGATATACCGATTTGCCCACATTACACCCTAAAATATAAGTTTAACAATGAGTGTATGATAGATTTAAAAACTGTAATAGACACATTTTTGGTGTCTCATGGGATGTGTGAAATAGGATGGGGAAAATGGAGTTGAAGCAGAAGACCAGCCATTATTGTTCTGAATGTTTGGATGTGCTTTGGAGACTGCAGGAGTTTCTTATTATCTTAGTTGAGTTTAGTTGGGGATTGAGGTGGTAGGGCAGAATGTAAGCAGAACAACATCTTCTCAAATTGTCTTTTGCAGGTTTCTCCAATATATGGTGTGACCTGGTCCAGGTCAGAGATAAACTGGTTCAAGAAGTCTGTGAAAAACAAAACATTTTTTGCAAGACTTTATCAAAAATCAAACATTATGACGGTGGCACTTTTCAGTGAAAGAGGGAAAATAGGGCTAATGAGGTATGCAGGCAAGACATCCATGTATGCCTTTTGACTTGTTGTGCTCTTACCTTAATTAAATATACATTTTTGTTTTTAAATTTATACTAATGAGAGCAGGTAAAAATCTGTATCTTTATGCATGGGCCACTTATGTCTGATGTGTCTTCTCTTTTTTTTAGACTAACTGAATCTGCATGTTAACCTTAAGAAAATCCTGAACCAGGACTCCTAATTCCCTTTGTGCTTCAGATTTCTGAAGTTTTTCCCTGTTTAGAAAATAGTTAATGCCTCTTCTTCCTACCAAAGTGCATAACTTCACACTTACGTGCATTGTATTCCATCTGCCACTTTTTTAGCCACTTGTCTAGCATGTTCAAATCCTTCTGCAGCCTCCCTGCTTCCTCAAAACAACCTGTTCTCCACTAATCTTTGTGTCATCTGTAAACCTACCAACAATTCTCTCGGTTTCTTCATCCAAGCCATTAACGTATAACATGAATAGTTTTGGTCCCAATGCCGACCCCTGACGAACTCTACTAATCAGTGGGTGCCACCCTGAAAAAGACCCATTTATGCCTACTCTGCCTGTCAGCCAATCCTTTCCATTTCAGTACCTTGCCCCTAACACTATGGGCTCTTATCTAGAAGCATCCTGTGCGACACCTTGGGAAAGACCTTCTTGAAATCCGAATAGATCACATCCACCGCTCTCCTTCATCTAATTTGCTCATTTCCTCCTCAAAATTCTAACAGATTTGTCACTCTCTTGAAGAAGCCATGCTGACTCAGCCCAGTTTTACCATGCACTTCCTAGTACTCTGCAATCTCATCTTTGATGAGATTTTAACAGTTCATTCTTAAAGTCCGAGGTCAGGTTAACTGGCCTATAATATCCTGACTTCTACCCCCCTCCCTTCTTAAACAGAAGTGTTACATTAGACATTTTCCAGTACTCTGGAACCTTCCATGATTCCAGTGATTACTGAAAGATCACCACCAATACCTTGACAATCTCCTTCAGAACCCTGGTATGTTGCCCATCCAGTAGAGGTGATTTATCTGTCTTCAGACCTTGCAGCCTCGCCAGCATCTTTTCCTTAGTGATGCCCACTCACCTCTGATCCCTGACTCTTGGAAGTTCTGGTATGTTGCTCATGACTTCTACTGGGAAAACTGATGCGAAATATCTATTAATAATAATTTCCTCCATCATTTCTGTTTCCTATTGCTGTTTCTCCAGCCTCGTTTTCCAGTGTTCCGATGTCCACTGTTGCGCCTAATGTTTTAGATATCTAAAACTCTTGCCGTCTTCTAGCTTACTGTCATATTTCATCATTTTTTTTAAAAGCTGTCGTGTGCTGGTTTTTATGGCATGCCAATCCTCTGGCTTTCCATTAATCATCTTTATATTGTATGCTTTTACCTTTGCTCTTATGCTGC